TTTTTTTTTTTTTTTTTTTTTTTTTTTTTTTTTTTTTTTTTTTTTTTTTTTTTTTTCTCTCCTCAGAAGGTGTACCGTTACACAACCGAAGTTCTAATTCTCCATTAATATGAAGTCTTTTGAGTGATTCAAAAAATAAAATCACGAGGGCTTATGTCTATGATTTAGGATATTAGAATCCTTTGGTTTCAACTAACTGTCTGTATCAACTCGATTGCCTCTTATTAACCGATATGATATATTACTGAGATTCTTGTGCAGAAAACTGTAAAGTCGATAGTGAATATGTTTTGTTCAGTGAAATTGTTGTTTTTCCTCCTCATTTTGTTATTTATTTTTTAATATGCAGCCAAGAAAGGGTTGCTTTGAAATTCGGAGTGATGATGGCGAGAAGATTATCAGTCTTCTGGTAATTACTACCTTTAACTTCAATTATAGAACATTTTCATTTCCAGTTAATTTGACATTTGCTGAATATTCAAGCTCAACGGTTTAGAATCTAATTGCTGATAGGCGAAAATGTCCTTACTCTTTGGTTAAATGGAAAGAAAAAGTGATATGGAATCAACCCAAGGGAAAGTTTTGGACGGATTACCTTGACAATCAAGATCAAGGGTAAAAAAAACTCGTGATTGAATCACTTCACAAGAGATTTGGTCAATACCAAGAGAAAGTTTTGGAACAGATTACCTTGATGATCAAGATCAAGAGTAAAAAAAAACTCGTTTCTAAACTTGTGATTCAAATCACTCTACAAAAATTTTGATCAATATCAGTTGAATGACTCTAGCTTGCAAGTTCTAAATACAAGAATTTGCAAAGTAATAGCTTAGCTCTCAACAAAGCTAAAATAGAAACTCTATCCTTTTCAATTAAAAATATGTTTAGAATTTGCATACTAGAGTCATTCAAGTGGTATTGACCAAACCTTTAGTTCGAATCGCGAGTTTAGAAAAGAGTTTTCTTTACTCTTAATCCGTTCCAAAACTTTTCCTTGGTTGATTCCACATCATTTTGTATCAGAGCTTTCCTTGGGTTGATTTCTTATCATTTGGTATCAAAGCTTACCCTTGGGTTGAGTCCTTATCATTTTGTATTTTACATATGTTATTTCTGGGTGAAATTATCTATACTATCTCGATTAAACAATTTTCAGATTTTTGTTTGATATTGGATATATATTTTAGTAATATTATCTTAAAACTTAATTAATTTATTTTTTAGTGTAATAAAGTGGGAGGATGAATATTTGAACCTCCAACCGCGGAGGAGATGGTAGATGTCTTTTAACGGCTCATATTGGCCTGAATTTTGAACTCTAAATCTTTACCATTCCATTTTCACAAATTGATGGATATGTGGGCGTATAAGGGATTCCTCGACCTTTCGACATCTTTAGATTATGCGTTTGCAATCGGTCAAGCCATCCAGTTTTGCCTACTTATTCTAATAAGTCCTCGTTGGAATTATACACTTAGATGATCTAAAGCTGTTCGATAACATCATCCGTTTCATTTATAGGATATGAAACGACCATTTACTCGTATGAAGGAGCTGAACATGGAGGAAGTGATTTCAGATATCATTGAGAAGATAAAAGGATGATGAAGAAAGCCTTTGATGAAAAATTGTCTTTTAGGATGCCATGGTTTTTTGTGGTGGTTTGGAAGCTAATCAACCAGAATAGCTTTGATGGTGGAAACTTAGGTTATGCTCATTGCCAATGCCAATGTTGTTGCCTCCTCACTTGGCATAACTGCAATGGTAAAACCATCAGGTTTGAACAAACAGGGTGGATTATTTTTGGTTTAAGAATCATTTGTCTTTGAAGAAGGTTGTCCTTTGGATTGGTAGTGGAAACCTACTCTTACACCAAGAGAGTGGCTCCATTGCATCCTTAAGTTACACATATTATGACATAGTATGATTCTTTTGGGAACAAGAGAACAGAAGCATAAAACTAGGGGAGAGATTCTATGGGACAGTTGTAGCTGCCCAATTGTCTTCTTCGGACTTTTTCTTGTGGGTTTGCTTTTCCTTTTGGACTCTCTTAATGTTTTAAAACACGAATGTTAGGGAGAAGTTTCCACCCCTTATGAAGAATGTTTTGTTTCCCTCTTCAACCGATTTAGCATCTCACAATCCACTCTCTTTGTGTCTAGCGTCCTCATTGGAGCTTGTTTCTCTTTTCAATTGATGTGGGATGATCTCACAATCTACCTCCCTTTGAGACTCCGTGTCCTCTCGTTGGCATATCGCTTGATGTTTGGCTCTGAAACCATTTTTAACAACCCAAGCCCACCGCTAGTAGATATTGTCTTCTCTAGGCTTTTCTATCTGGTCTTCTCTCAAGGTTTTAAAACATGTCTGTTAGGGAGAGGTTTTCATACCCGTATAAAGAATGCTTCATTCTCTTCTCCAACCAATGTGGGATATCACAATCTACCCTCTTTCGGGGCCTAGCGTCTTTGCTGAAATTCATTCCTCTCTCCAATCGATATGGAATTTGGTTTTCATACCCGTATAAAGAATGCTTCATTCTCTTCTCCAACCAATGTGGGATATCACAATTTACCCTCTTTTGGGGCTTAGCGTCTTTGCTGAAATTCATTCCTCTCCAATCGATATGGAATCTCACCCTATCTATGTCCTTAACTCAAAAAAGAAGTGTTAACTCAAAAAAGAAGGTATAGAACACAGACATTTGTCCTTGAAAAAGCCAATTTTGCCAATCTATGTGGCATGAAAATATACTATTCCCAATCTATTCTCCCAATCTATTCTCTAGGTCTAGAGAGCATCTTTCTTGACTTCCCACCTCTGTTGAATCGCCTCCTAGTCTAAAGGAGGTGACCAGATGTTAGATTGTTCGGTTTAGCGATTAGGGCGATTAGGGTTGTAGGTGTTAGACGAACACGACTCTCCACAATGGTATGATATTGTGGACTTTGAGCATAAGCTCTCATGGCTTTGCTTTGGGCTTCCCCAAAAGGCCTCATACTAATGGAATTAGTATTCCTCACTTATAAACCCATGATCACACCGTAAATTAGTCGATGTGGGACTTCCATCATCCAACAGTAGGTTTGTTGGTATTGACGACGTGTAGCTCCAACATTTTGACCCACCACACCTCTTATCCAATCGACCCCAATCACAACGACCTATAGTGATATGATATGAATCACCCGTCCCAAGCCTCCCACCCCTATCCCTTCATCCTCGAGCCAAGAATCATCAACATTTAGTTCCAAAAATCCCTCGAGTGGTGGCACCCAACAAGTGTGGGCGTAGTCGATGGGTGTTGATGTTATGTCTTCCCCAACTCTTCACAGTTTCAATCTATGGATTCTCGTACTCGTGTTCTAAAACCAAGTGAAACAATCTATAAACTCCCCATTGCCCTCGTTATAAAGAATACCATAGAAGTTGGAACTAAACATAACTTGACATTTTGGATCAACAACCATCCCCAAACATTAACCAAGAAGCCTTATTGGTCATTGCCCGCATTAAGACACGTCATTCACTAAATTGAATTTCTATCGTATATAAAGTGTGCCATAATATTACATAAAAACAGCCCCTCTTTGATCATTACGACCAAAATAATATTTAAACATTTCATAAAATAACCAAAAAAAAATTTTAGAAATGAAATTTAATAATAATCTCAAAACTTATTTCAATCTATTTTTTTAAAATAAAAATTTAACAATAAACCCAAAATTTGTTTCAAAATTTATTAAAATTACCACTAAATTTGAACATAACTAAAACCAAATCCACTAAAAATAATATTTCAACCCCCCAAAAAAAAAAAAAAAACCAAAAGTTAGTTAATTTTAATTTCGAGATTTTACTAAAAATGGAGAGGATTTACAATCATCCACCTTTGAATTAGTCAAATATTAGTAATTACAGTAATAATAATAATAATTTATTTTTGTTGCTATAAATTCCTCCTTCCATTCCTTCATTCCTCAACAGAGGGAAGAAGGCGAAAGAGAGGTTTAAAAATAAGGATGATGAACAATAAACCGAAGGCCCCTTCTTCTATCCTCTCCTTCGCCTTCTTTCCTCTGTTCTTCCTCCTCTGTTTCCCCTCCTCTGTTTCCGCCTTCAACATCACAAAGCTCCTCAATCAATTCCCTGAATTCGGAGCTTTCAACGATTATCTCACCAAAACCCACCTCTACGAACAAATCAACACCCGCAATACCATCACCGTCCTCGCCCTCGACAACGCCACCGTCTCTGCAATCGCCAAAAACTCCCTCGACACCGTCAAGGAGATTCTCGGTGCTCACATTATTCTTGATTACTATGACCCTGCAAAGCTCCGGAAGCTCCCCGTCGGTAAACCCACCGAAATCACTTCCATGTTTCAATCCACTGGCGACGCCGTTAAGCAACAAGGCTTCTTGAAAATCGTGCATAATAAACGAGGTGAAATCGAATTTGGATCTGCTGCTAAAGGCGCTCCGTTCAGCGCTATGCTTGTGAAATCGGTTGCTTCTCGGCCTTATGATATCTCTGTTCTGCAAGTTAGTGCTCCGATTGTGATTCCTGGTATTGGTGTTTATAATCTGCCGCCTCCTGCGCCGGAGACTCTGTTTGTTGCGCCGGTTGAAGCTCCAAGTCCGTCGCCGGCGGATGATGACGTTGACGATGCCGATTCTCCTTCGCCGTCGTCCCAGGCTCCGGCTGAATCACCGAGGAGTTCTTCTCCAAAATCGGCTGAGGTTGCGGATGATGCAGATGCACCTGGACCGGCTGACTCTGACGCTGATGGTTCGGCGGGTTCGCGTGGCCGTGTTGCCGGCGCCGGAGTTGTGCTGGCGGGGTTGGTGACTCTTTGCTTGGCTTGATGACTCTTTCCAATGGGTTATATGTTTTTTATGTGAATTATTTTGGGAGTATAGTCATTTTGTGTAACAAATGGTGAGGGTATGAAAAAATTAAAGAGAAATGTATGTGAGATAGTCCATTTTAACCGGTTGAACCCGACCGAACCGGTAGGGAATCCCAGTTTAAATGGGGGAAGAATAAGAGAGGGAAGTAGGGAGGATTTATATTAATAATATTTCGTTATAATATTGAAATTTGAATTTTTAGAGACTATCCTAACGTAATTTTGTTGCACAAATCAAAATTGAAACCAGACCGACCATGAGTTGTTACAAATGGTATCAGAGCTAGACATGGAATGGTATGTCATGAGTTGTTATAAATGGTATCATAGCTAGACATGGAATGGTGTGTCGTGTGCCAATAAGAACCTTGGGCTTTCAAGGGATGGATTGTGAGATCTCACATGTCTCTCAAAGTCTCAAGGGGGTGGATTGTGAAATCTCGTCCCATATTAACAAATGGTATTAGAGTTAGACATGTGGTGGTATGCGAACGAGTACGTTGGGCTTTCAAGGAAGTGGATTATGAGATTGCTAGCGCACAAATGATATTAGAGCTAGATATGAGGCGGTGTGCTAGTGAGTACGTTGGGGGCTCCTAAAGAGTGGATTGCGAGGTCTCACAAGTCCCGAAGTCGAACATTAGTTGATAGGTCCCAAAAGGCCGACATTAGGATTGCGAGGTCTCACAAGTTCCGAAGTCGAACATTAGTTGATAGGTCCCAAAAGGCCGACATTAGGATTGCGAGGTCTCACAAGTCCTGAAGTCGAACATTAGTTGATAGGTCCCAAAATGCCGACATTAGTTGGCCCCAAGTAACCATTTTAAAAATTTTGGTGACGATTCATACCTCAACCCACAAACTATTGAACGGGCTAACGATAAAATTCCAATAGAGATTGATGAGGGCTCCTCACTCCTAAGCACACCCAACCCCTAAGCACACCCAACCATCCTAACAAACTAAAATAGTATTGGTTCCAATGAAAGTGAGTGCCGCACAATCGTTAGTCCGTCTTCAAAAGTAGCAAGAACAAATTGGCTTAGCTCACTTGTTGGAAAGTGAGTGCCGCACAATCGCTAGTCCGCCTTCAAAAGTAGCAAGAACAAATTGGCTTAGCTCACTTGTCGTTGGAAAGTGAGTGCCGCACAGTCGCTAGTCCGCCTTCAAAAGACGCAAGAACAAGAGTGCCGCACAATCGTTAGTCCGCCTTCAAAAGTAGCAAGAACAATTTGGCTTAGCTCACTTGTCGTTGGAAAGTGAGTACCGCACAATCGCTAGTCTGCCTTCAAAAGTGCTATCGTGTCAAGTGATCTTAAAAATAAATAAAACGATATTTTACCTATTAACCTTATATTTTTGTTGTTGTTATTATTATTATTATTATTATTTATAAATAATTGGAATGGTTGGATGGAGTACATTATTTAATAAATATTATTTTGATTAAATTTTTTTTTACAAATCTATTTTAAGATTTATACCATTTACATTATCCATATTAATATCACCTTATTTCTAGACAACTACTAGTTAGAATGTTAGAATAATATATGAACGGATTCATAAGCTACTATAAGATATAATACTTTATTATATAAGAAAACTAAGATATTAATTTATATTAAATCGCATATTAGAGGAATAACTTGCTCAAGGTTGCTTAATTAATGGTATTATTAAGTTATGGAAATGGCGAACATATCCCTAATTTCATGTATTTAAATTAATTAATCTTTTTACCAAAAAAACGAATCAATAAACCTCCACTTCCCTTTTAAAGATTACTTTTAATATAATAAATAGTTTATGAATTTAATAATATAATTATCATTCATCCTCATAAAATATTTAGAGATGTCCTCGTGCCGAGTTGAGAAGCATTATCCATCCCGTTCTTGCCTTCTATTTTATTTCTCGTCTTCGTAAAATTTTATATTATCATTCCTCCGATCGGATTTTGTTACTTTTAGTTTTACAAAAAGTCAAGATGAATGATTATAAACGTCATGTTTGTTTCCTGGAATAATCTTAATTGAGATTTATCAAGTACTCGGAAATTTTCTAGATATGATATGAATTATGGATATTGTTCTGTCGTTTATTACGAGTTTGAAGATAATATGAATTGGAATTTGAAGAAGGGAAAGGAGAAGAAGCTCTCGACCCATAACAGATGGAGGAGGATTTATCAAATATGTTCTAATCTAACAACACGTTATTGGGTTGTCGACATAAAGTTTTTCATATCTTAGTTGATCTTTAAAATAAAAACGAAACGAATGCATTTGAAAGCAGATTAAATGAAGAATTCCGAACTTTTATTTAAATCGAGATAAAACAGGTAGAAAAATGATTATAAACTTATCTTATCCCATCATTTTTTTATGTTTAACACTATGAATTATATCACGACTTTACTTAAATAAAACACGATTGTTCTATAGGTTGTACGATCGTGTTTTTTAAATTCTTAAATAATTATTGATTATATTATTTTATATTTTTTAATCTTATCGTGTTATAAAAAATTAGAAGGAATTTATAAATTATCTTTCCAATACAATTAGTTCAATTTAATATATTCAATTCATTCGAAAAAATTAAGGATTTATCATCCGACCATTTCTTTTCTTAACCTTAAAATTTCAGAAAGTAACTCACAAGATTCCATTCCAGATTAAAACTATAAAATTGTCAAAAAAAAAAATAAAAAAGCTATTTTTTTCGATGACTTAAAAAACACGCTAGTTCCTCACAATATAACTTGAGATAAGGGAAGAAAAGGGTTCGTGTATCCCAACACGTGTCTAGATTAATTCAAACAACTTAAAAACGTCAGTAAAAATATATTTACAATCTCCTGCCAAGGTTTTGTTGACGAACCTCCTTCATAATCATGAGATCCCACATCCATTGGAGAGAGGAACGAGTGTCAGCGAGAACGCTGGCTCCAAAGGGGATTGGATTGTAAGATCTCACATTGGTTGGTTGCAGAAGAGAACGTAACATTTTTCTATAAGGTTGTGGAAATCTCTCCCTACCATACGCGTTTTTAAAACCTTAAGGAAGCTCAAAAGAGAGTAAAAAAGAACAATATCTGCTAGGTGGGCTCTTACAGTGACGTTATTCCCTCTTCTCCACTGTTAAGAATGAGAAATAGAAATAGAATTGAGAAAATGTGTATTCTCGTTGAAATTGATAAGCTTAAATGGGATACAAGCTTGCAATTAATGTGTACAATAAAAAAAATATAAAATAATTAAATATTGAGAATAAAATAAAATATACTATAAATTAAATATCTAGAGATATATTCCATAAATAATATATACTCTAAATATTATATCTCAATATCCACCTTACCGAGTGTTGTAACCTCTCTTACCCACATGTTTCAACGCAATTGACATCTACAATACTTACTTCCAAAACGTGAGTTAAGGCTAAAAACTATATTGAATATTTGTTTGTTCGTACGACTAACTTGTTCGTTAAATCAGAATAAATGTCGCACAATCGTTATCCTCGTCAATCCTTGTGACAAATGGTAGAATCTTTATCAACTTTTAGAAACTCTAAAATAACGATATATATTATTATCATCATCGGAAGAAGAGATTTAAGACATTATCAGATATAATAATGCACAGTTAAAGCTCATCGTTATCAAACGCATCGAGAACGAGATAAGTATTAAGAAATAAAGGATAGAGTGATAGCACTGTAAAGGGACACAACTGGCGTATGAGTATGAACGTAAAGGGAATTTGCTTCATTTTTGTGAGGCTTTCTTTACAATATCATCACTGCATACGCACGTGAGAGTGCGACAGTTTCCGGTTTCCAGTTTCAAATTAACCTTTGTTTTTTTATCCTTAAAAATCGGCGATTCTTTTCCCAATATAAAACTTTGAAATTAAAATTTGTTTGGAACTATTCTTAAAACTCTCATTAAAATTTTAAAATATAAAAATACCTTTAAAAGAATTTAAAAAATATGTTTGAATTTTCAAAATTTTCATGAATTTTTTTAATTTTTTTTAAAAAAATTCTTCAAAACTTTTAAAATAATTTTAAAAATACACTTTCCTTTAAAAAAATTCAACTTTCAATTAATACCTTTCAACTTTTTTTTATTAAAAAAAACTTTAAAAAAAAAATAATTTTTTTAAAATTTTATTATTCAAACTTTCAAAACTATTTAAAAAATCATTAACTCTCTTTTAATAATTTTTTTTTAAAAATACTCCAGAATTTTTAAAACTAGCACTAATATCGTTAGTATTTAAGGAAGATAATCTATAAGGTATAGATAACAATAATAATAATTTTTTTAAAAATAAATGTTAAAACTATTTATATTATTTTTAAAAGTTAAATCGATAAAGTATTTTTGAAATAAAATATTATATGTTTTCATCCAAAAATCAATCATAAGAGTATTTTCAAAACTTTATAAAATAAATTTAAGGGTATTTTTTAAATCGAAAATATATATATATATATATATATATATATATATATAATAATGAAATTTGTACATCATAGGTGTGTGGATCTTACCTCACGGCAGGCATAAAGAGGAACCAGAAGAAACAAAAAGGGTTCTTAGCTTGGAGGTTGGATGGTTAAAGGCATGCATACAATGCTCTTTTTTCTGGACTATAGCCCTTGTAGGGGACACCCTTTTGAGCCTATCTCGACAATATGAGGACCACCATAGCATCTTTTCTTACTTTCGTTCAAAGAAAAAGCTGATTTAGAAGTCGTTCTTAGCGGTTAATGTAACGCTCTATGTTCAAGATTCAGACCCAGATTTAGAATTTGAATTTGACATCTGGGTATTCTTCTACGACATGATCGCGTTATCTATTTGTTCTAAACTGATTCAAAGAGTGAAAACTATCCCCACGTAGCAATACGAGTCATTTCAATATGATTTGTCCATTAATTGTTACCCAATATAACATCCCTTTGACTCTCCCTCCTTCCCGTTGAAAGGAAAAACTAATGTAGGATTTAATATAACGCCCTATGCCAAGAATTAAGACCACAGATTCAACATCTGGATATTCAGCTTCACGATTTTAAAACGGTTGGTTAAGGAGAGATTTCTACTCCGCTATAAGGAATGTATCGTTCTCCTCTCCAACCGATGTGGAATTTGCTCCCAACGTCCTCACTAGTACATCATTCGGTGT